CTCATCTACATTGTTTGAAGGGGATGAAAATTGTAGGTTGGAAACTGTATGCGGTAAATGGTTGTAAATTGTTGCATATTTGGTGTCAGCGAAATACCTTCTATAACACTGGACAACAAATTTTAGTTTTTTAATTGTATCTTGTGGGAAAAGTGCACTTCTTTGTTAATTTTGGGGCGCTGAATCCAAAAATGACAAAAATTAGTTGCGGTTTAGAAAAAAAACTTTTTATTTTTAAGGATATATTAAAAAAAGTAACAAGATTCATATACTTATAAGAATCACTATATGCGCTGTCTTTTTGCTGTTCTTTTATGGATTGTTTCTGGAGTATCTCTACCAAGAGTCCAACAGTAGTCTGCAAGCATGGAAGGATTCCACTTTCCCTGGTACCTTTTTTCCATTGTTGAAATATCCTGATGAAAACGTTCGCCGTGCTCATCACTTACGGCTCCGCAATTGTCAGGAAAAAAGTCCAGGTGTGAGTGTAGGAAATTTATCTTAGGAGACATATTACAGCCCATCTTTTGATACGATGACAGCATATTTTTGACAAGGGTTTTACAGTTGTCAGCTTTTCTATTTCCCGAGAAATTAGTGACCACCAGACGGAAATCATTCCAAGCAGTTTTTTCAATACCTGTTAAAGTGTTTTCAAACTGTGTATCTTTCAAAATATTTCGAATCTGTGGCCCAACAAAAATACCTTCTTTAACCTTTGCCTCACTTAGTCCTGGAAATTTCTGACGCAGGTATTGAAAAGCTGACCCATCTCTATCTAATACCTTGACAAAGTTTTTCATTAGGCCCAACTTGATATGCAGTGGTGGTAATCAAAATTTTTTCGAATCTACTAATGGCATATGCTTTACATTTTTTTGACCTGGCTCTAGGAATTGATGAACAGGCCAGTTTTGTCTGGTGTAATGAAGTGCCTTTGCCCGACTGTCCCATTCACACAAAAAACAGCAAAACTTTGTGTAGCCTAGCTGCAGCCCAAGTAAAAGTGCAACAACTTTCAAATCGCCACAAATATGCCATTGGTGCTCATCGTATTTTATGCATGTCAATAGGTACTTCATATTGTCATATGATTCTTTCATGTGAACTGCATACCCTACAGGAAGAGATGGTAAAATATTTCCAATATGCAATAACACTGCCTTTAAACTCAATGTTGAACTGTCTATAAACAGTCTCCATTCTTCTGGGTTATAGTTTATATTTAAAGCCGCCAGTAAGCCGTTAATGTTACTGCAGAAAACCAAGTTATTCTCCATATTGTAAAATGGTTCTAAGTCTTTGTGGCGTTTACGAAAAACACATACCGAAACATCGTCTTTTAACAAGTTGCACTGCTGCAGTCTTGATCCAAGTAACTCTGCCTTACATTTTGGAAGTTCTAAATCTCTTACAAGATCATTTAATTCTGACTGTGTTATTTTGTGCGGTTGGTGGCATGACGTGCTCGGTATAAAATCAGGATCCCTTGACGTTGATGGCATATATCTTCTTCCTGACGAATCACTCGATCGCCATGATCTGATTCGTTTTCTGATTCGCAAGTGTAGGATTCTGGGGGTTTTGGAATAGGATTTTCGTCACTGTGAGGCACAGGTCTCATCGCAGATGGTATGTTTGGGTAGTTATTAACCGATTTTTTTTCTTGGACATACCTGTGGCTTGTCCAACACAAAGTACCATGCAAAATTAACAATCATTAATATGATTTGTAGGCTCTCTCCAAACCATTGGGACAGCAAAGCGCATAGACCGTTTTTTGCCATTTAACCAGCTCCTCAGACTTGAAGCACATGTATTACAGCAGATGTAGCGTGCCCACTGTCTGTCTTGATCACCTAGTTTACAACCGAAATAAAGCTGATATGCCTTTGTTATTAGTGAAGTAATAGACCGTCTCTGAGACGCAAAAGTCACATCACCACTGTCACAGCAGGAACACATATAATTACCGTATCTCTGAAACTTGAACTAATATTGAAAAAATAAGTTTCATTCCGGTTTTAGCACATTAAAAATAGTAATATTTTGCTGATTTTATTTAGGATATTTTTTGGCTGTTGATCAGTGATAATTAAGAAGCTGCTGATCTCAGTGATAATGCACCTGTTAGACATATATTCCCTACATCTACCATGAAAACAGAAATATGATACATTTGCTTTATATAGCTTGACATGCAGAGATCGAAGATGCATCGTACCTAGGTGAACCTACCTAATCACGATTTCGCCTTCTGAAACGACTTGAAACCTCCAACGAAGGCGTGCCGATGACCTAAAAATAAAAACTTTTCCAGTGACCTTGCGCCTTCTATAAGAACCATTAAGGACACCTTACTTATCGCCGCCTTGCGCGGGCCAAGCGTCAAGACGCGGTCCCAACACCCTTACACGTGCTCAGCCGTTCGCGGCGTCTCGCACCCTCCGTCCTACAGAGAAAGTGGGGGTAAAAACGTGGCAGGCCACCGCCCGATCAACAGGGCACACAAGGGCACACATACGCGTACGGCCGTTGATCACACGTTGCACCGTATGCACCCACAGTCAGACACGCGGCTTCACGTGACGTCTTGTGCCCTGCATCAGGTCAAGTGTCAACTGCGACGTTCGTGCTTAAGACGTGCCACCTACGCGCATGTACCGACTTACGCGCCTAAGAAGTGATTTTTAAGATTCCGCACAAGTATCTTAAAACTGGACTTCATGCATTTCATCGGATCAAGTTTTACAAGTGCTACATTCGCGTATGTGCTGACTTACGTGCCTTTGAAGTGATTTTTGAAACTTTCGACTTACGTGCTCTTGAGTAATACCCTGAAACTAGAGTTCGCGCTTCAAGACTTTGAAACCAACGCGCCTGTACCGACAAGCTCACTTCCGCGATACTCGTGTCTCTGTTTCAAGTGACCTTCAAGAGTCTCTAAGTATTGGGATAGTTTGCAAGGTTTTCGACTTACGTGTTTTGAGCCTAAGTGTTTCAAGTCACAGACATCTTATTGAAAAAAGAAGCACGTATAAAGTGTCGAGTTATCTCAAGAGTCATAGAAAGACTGTTTCACGATGGAACATTCTATGCCTCAAAATACGCCTTTGCACTGGGGTTACTCGGGAGGGAACGCAGCGCCATCGACTTGGACCAACGTTACAAGGAGCAGCGTGAAGAGACCGATATCCGAAAGTGATTGTGATGATGTTTATTCTGAAGAATCCTCAAAAGATCAGTAAGTTTGTTTTTTCGCAATTAAAAAATCGTGAACAAATCTATCAGGACCTTATAACCATCACTAATTTTACCAGTTGGAAGTCCTACCAACAATGGCAAATAATTATTATCAGTTGAAAACAACTGACCATGGTAGTAGAGCACAGAATTAATTTCCTTGCTTGTCGGAGGCGTCTCGAGATATTTCTCCATCTCAGGGAGTGTTAATTTGCAGTTCACTCTTCCGTTTCATCCTTAATTATGTTTGGAGTTAGTCTACCAGCCGATCCCCGGTAGTCATAAATCTTACATTAGGCACTGTCCTTGCAAGAATATCAGTCATCTTATTACTACGTAAATACCTACATAAAAATGAGATCAGAGCGCTGAAACACAAACACTACAAGTTGTGCAATTGTAAAAATTCGCTGTACATTTATAATTTCAGTGAAATCTCCTTAAGACGGATACCAACGGGACCGACTGAAATTATCCGTTCACGAGGAGTGTCCATATAACAAAAAACAACAAAAATCGTGTTTTTAATGAAAATCGAATATATACTAAGTGACATATAAATCCGAACACCCAGTTTAAATGGTTTTATTTTAATAAAATTTTGAAGACTCGTCACTAAAGACAATACTGTTCCATTCCTAATCCCAGAGTGACCGTTGTCTGCACCACTGAAGGCGATTACGTCGGTGTTCTCGAGTTAAAGGGAGGACCCAGTGTGGCCGGTATGAAAACAAGCCAAAACTTCTCATTCGTCGGTAAACACTTCGCATGCCAATAGGTCTTCCGTGTTCTGCAAACCATTCATTTGCAATGGATCTGGTAGTGGAGAAACGGTCCCTTAAGGCCAATAATCTTAGGCGGCGATCTTCACGGTCTGTTGTTCTACGGCGGCGTCCAGTGCCCCTTGCTCTTTGCGTACGGCCTTCTCGAAGCCATGCCTGACAACACCTAACCGCAGTGTCTACACTTCTTTGCACTCTAACTGCAATTGCCCGAAAAGAAAGTCCAGCTTCCCGAAGTCCCACTATACGGCCCCTATCAAACTCACTAAGTTGACGAAATCGTACAGGTCTCCGTACTCTAGGCATCGTAACCGATTCTTTACTGCGGCTGAAATATTCATTTTTAGAGCGTTAGTGAATTAAAAAAAGCAGTATAAAAACCGGAATGTCCAACTGATAAGGCTGAAAATTTTTTCACTTGTTATTTACAGTAAGATAAATACATTCACCAACTTTTATTAAAATAAAACCATTTAAACTGGGTGTTCGGATTTATATGTCACTTAGTATATTTAGTTTTATCTATATGTAGCTAAAATTTTAATATATTACTCATTACATTCACTTGTAATTACGGACCTAGTTTTTTTTTTACAGAGCTTTGCTAAATCCAGAATAAGTCCTGACCTGCACACATTGCTTTGATTTCCGTCTAGATAGTTATTCTAAAGAAATCATCGGCATTACTTTCTAACCCCGGAAATGTTACAGTTAGAATTTCATTTTTGTCTGCTCACAGAAAATGAAAACAGTACCGTTTAGGGCACAGTTAAAGTAGAAAGATAAAAGACAGGTGGGATGTCGGTACTATCCGTAGTGTCCCAACTGCATCTGTAGTTGTACCGTTATTAAGCATTGTGTTCACTTTCATTACGCTCGCTCTCTTTTATTTTATTTTTTTTAATGAATTAAATAATTTATGATATATTTTCTTGTTGCAGATGTACGTCTCCAGGAGATGCGGACAGCTGTCAAATGCTGTCAAGAAAGAAGAGAAGAGGCATTATAGAGAAAAAGCGAAGAGACAGGATAAATATGTCGCTTAGCGAGCTCAAGCGACTTGTGCCGAGTGCTTTCGAGAAGCAAGGATCTGCTAAACTCGAAAAGGCCGAGATTCTTCAAATGACTGTGGACCATCTCAAAATGCTTCATGCAAAAGGTGGGTTCTTATTGCTAGGAGTAGCATTAAGGCTCCTTGTAAACTATTGAAGAATGTGGTGATGTGACCCAGTGGAGTTTCCCTTACTTTAGCCACAGAAAGCCAACGCTGCTCCAGAAATGGGAATTTTTTTTCTTACAAAAGGTGCAACAGGAAATGTTAACATTGCTATCGTTAGAAATCTAAACTGGTTTCATCATAGGACTGGGCATTAGCTGCCATTTCACGCGCTTAAAGCCGTTTTACACACAAGAGAAATACTCCGAAAATTATGGTCATAATTATGCCGCAAATTTACTTGGAAAAAATATTGAAGATTTTCTCTACAACCTGTATGACACAAGCAAACAAAATTTCGGAGTAATTCATATGATACGCCTGCGCATTAGAGTAATATTCTCCAATATAATCGGAAAGACAACAGACGTCGTTGATTTAAATTTATTTTTGAAATCGAGATCTTGGTTAATATTCTAAAACTTCTCAATGCTTGGACTATCGCATCCAGCGCCTGACGCCGCAAATTTCTGTTTTTGTATTTGGGTGACTTCACCTTGTACAGGTTTGGCCATTTTTGGTACTCCTCCAACAGTGTAACTTCTTCCCGATTCCACGACATTATGAATAGACAATAACAATAAACGCTTCTTCGTACGACTCGAACAGGACCACAGCCCCAAACGTTAAGTGAGGTTATGTTGTTGACGTTGACATTTGATATTGACATGCACGGAAATAATCCTCTGCGCCGATTCTCGCGCATATTCTATAGAACGGGTTTTATATTTTTACCATGAAAATTTTCACAAGAATTTTTTTACGTGTAATACGATAGCAAACATTTTCGGCATAATTATGACCATAATTTTCGGAGTAATTCTCTTGTGTGTAAAACGGCTCTTAGTCAATAATTCTCTTTCAAATTGTCAATCTTGCATACAAAGTGAAATTTTCCATCATTTTGATGTCATACAATTTTAGCATGCAGTTACGAAAAACTTAACGTTAATGTTACAAGTAATATTTTTGCTTATAACTGCTAAGGTTGTAACCCAATATTATATATGGCCTCATTCCTTTTCATAGATAATAAAATTTGCTACAGAAAACTACATGTTTGCGCCATCTACCATAATCATTACCTATGATTAACAATGCCATTTTTAAGTAAATCAATCTTTTTACTGCTACGCGTAAGTATGGGAAATGTAATATTTTCGGATGATTACGCATCATTAAAATGCAAATCATGCACTTTCACCAGTCTGCCTATTGTCCATTTCGCCAACGCCGCTTTCCAGTGCTTTTGAATTGAACTCTAGCGAATGTGCAGGGGAACGCGACGATACAAACCCAACCTGTTTTTTGATGTTTTGTTTGGACGCTGACAATTTGTATCACACTGCCAAACAATGAAAATGTAAACTCATTTTGCCTTCATTTTTAGAATCATTGTCAGCATTGATGCCTGATGATGCTTTTAGAATGAAGACGCAACACGTCAGAGGTCTGCATTTTTATTGTAAAGCTTGTGGGTAAATTTTCAAAGTGTCTAGTTATAGATAAATACAACTACCAGCCGCTATGAACTTGCCTTCTTGCGCTCTCTTGTGATCTTTCTTCTCAAATGTACGTTGCGCCTCTGGGTCATAACATTATCAGTTTTTAACCATCCTACATTGTCTGGTATCGGTTTAATGTGGGTTTAATGCAGAACAAAAACAAAATACGGTGGAAAACATAACCTAACAATCTTGACACATTGTCATTTTCGTTATTCCCACTATTTTGGAGCGTATAACACCGAATAAAAAGCTGTTGCATGATGGGGCAAGGGATTTCAAAAACGAGCAGTTCAAGTGCATGACACTCTAGAGCACTGGAACGGTATTGACAGGTGGTGGGTAACTCCCAGTTACTCTGATTAACACAAGTGAGGCAATGGAAAGGGGCTCTTTAGACGTGAATATCGTACGTAGCAGGCAGAATATGCCGCGCCAGTGTTTTGATATGAAATTTCGGCTTTCAATCCTTATGAATCATCAAGCCGCCGAGAAAATGTAAGAGACCTTTTCTGTATCAAATTTTCTGCTCTACAAAAGAAGATAATAGTCTTTATACGATTACATTGTTTAGTTATTATAAGCGAACTCATTACATGTGGCTTTATCCTGGAATTTTTGGTAAAATGTTGATTATATGGAAAAAATGTATAGATCCAAAATTTAATTCGGTACAAAATTGTTTTTATTGCTTTTTATATAGGATCGACATCTTACGAGATGTTTGATCAAACGCGTTTGGTCTCATATTTGAGAGATTCAGACAGAAAACGTATATATTATCTACTGGGTATGTTTTCTGCCCTGAGTACCATTAAGGAAACCAAGTGTTTTGTTTATTTACTATTAGTTCTTATATTTCTATACTTGACTCCTTTTTTCTTTAAATTTGTGTCGTAAATCGTGATTTTGCTATGATCACATACATTTGTTCTTTGGCAGACGATTCTGGTTGAGCTGTCTATACTATAACTATCTAAAACTGTAATGACTCATCGATGTTCACGTGAACATCACTTAACTACCAGTAGTCGGCTGTTCATAGGCGGGGTATGAATGTTTAACATGGGTGAACTAGATTTGTCACATGCTTAATAAAGAGTGGTTTGAAACATATTGTAAGTCAAAAATTTGGGAATTACCTTTATTCATCGTCGCTTCTACTTACATCTGACAGTAATAAACTGTCGCTATTGCTTTCCTCGTTGAAATTGACTATAACTGGCTCTATGATGGTGTCGATGTGGCGGTCAAGCTGCCACATTTTTGTTTCTTCCTTCACAACCTGACGGATAGCATTCTGCCAAGCTTCGGGCGTTAATAGCTGTATGGAAGTCTCAAGTAAAACCTTAACGTCTGGTAATTTGAAGGTTGTGTTATGGCGCGCAATATAACCCTTCACTTGAGCCCAGATGAGCTCTATTGGGTTCAGTTCACAGTGGTAGGGCGGTAACCGCAGCACAGTGACACCACATTGACGGGCCATCTCATCAGTCACGTAACTAATGTTCGCAGGTTTGTGCTGGTTAATTTTTTCATACAATTCCGCTTTCACACATGAATCGTCAAACGGGATTCCTTTGACGGTCCACGAAGACCTGTTGACAAACCTTCAATGCTTGCTTGTCGGTTACTCACTAAGTTTTTGTCTATCCAGGTTTTTTTAACTGTGTGACCTGCATTTACCCATGTCTCGTCCAAATAGATTTTTCTGCTTTGTCGCCTATATTCAATCATTTCGCGTAGGTATTTTCGACGCCAGGCGACTATTTCAGGTCTCTCTATCAATACTGACTTCCGATTACGCGTTTCGTAACGAAAATTAATTTCGTGCAGGGATTTCCTCATTACCTCGACGCTCATTTGGGGTATAATTTCATTTTCCTTGATCGCTGCATGTACAGCCTTGAGGGTTGGTATCTCATTCCTAAAGAAGAATGAATGTACGGTTCGCCTTAACGCCATTTTGCTATCGTCATCCAATTTAACGGCCTTTCGTCCCTTCAAATTAAACTTTGGATCAGTAGTAGCTCCAGTTTTCTTCTTTTCATGCACCACCCTTGCGAATGGTCCACTCTGGAACGCCTGTCATACTTTCACAACGCGCGAGTGCATCTCCCTGCGACATAGTTCTGTTCAGATAATTGAACACGTTGAGCACGATTTCTTTCGCGTCCCTCTTCAGTGCTTTACGAAGCCGTCTACTTGTTCCCTGGCTTTCAGTACTTCCACTCGTGCCATTTGTACTCTCCATGGTTAAGTATAACCAAAACAGTAACCACAGAAATCACAACAATAACAATCACACAACAATTCTTATAAAAACACACAATATGCGATCGCTCAACGAAACACGTTCCAATGCTTTGCCGACGCCTATGAGTCTGCCGGTCGAGGCGCGTCTTTGATTTCATTGGTTCTACCGGCGGAGAACAATCAGCCATTATTTCCATCTCTGTCTGTGCTGTTGACCACCGCAAAGCCACAGAAACGACATATGTCGTAGGCTATACGGCTGTACTGGAAGGAAGCCGGGATCGAGCTCTGATCACGTGTTGATCACGCGTATGAGTCATTACAGTTTTAAATAGTTGTAGTATAGTTAATAATCAAATGAACATCATAGTCCTATGCTATGGAACATGTCGCCTTCACGTGAACAATTCATAGATGACCTTAAATATGGCCTAGGGGTCATGGAGGTCAAGTTAATAGATTCAAATAGCAACAACTATTTTTGTCCAGAGTCAAGCTACTAAGTGGTTCAATCAGTATGACCTACTGAAAAAGACGTGCACGCCCGGTAAGCTTGTCAACTACGTATTTTTTTTAAAGGCTCTTACGAAAGTTTCTGAATTTGTTGTTCAACCCAAATATAACCTAGGTCAAGTTTGTAAATGACATAGAAAATGCAGCACCTAGTAGGAGTGCTGTAATTTTAAGCATACAAATACTTTTACAAGTTTTAGGACTACTGATAAATAGAAATTGATGAAAATTTTAACTCGAAATTTCTCAAAATAGTTATCCCACCTTAATGTTAATAATGTGTTGAAGGTCTTCTGTTCGCTATACATTCGTTAAGTCGTCGCGGCATTGACTGGATTAGGTGATTTATGTCTTTTTGGCGTATTGTATTCCATCTATGTGAATTTCGTTGTTTCGTAGAGCCTCCAACATTTTTTTGTGAATTATTAAAAACAAAAACATTAGTAGTTGAAGACCAAAAAACCCAAAGATATAAATTTCCGGACAACTCAATATAGATAGAAGCTGTATTGAAACAAAGCTGTTTTATTCAATAAGGACTCATTTCAACGAAATCAAACTACATTTTTTAGCTAAATGGTCGTAATTTCTAAAAATATTATTATACGTGGTGGGATGACCTGAACGTTGTGGTTTTCCTTTTCAGAACCACCTACATTCGAAATAACA